ATCCATCCATCCATCCAACCATCCATCCATCCATCCATTCATCCTTCCATCTCTTTCCATCCATTCATCCATCTGTCCATCCATCTTGCCATCCATCCTTCCATCCCTCTTTCCATCCGTCCATCCACCCACCCACCCACCAATTCCTTAAGAGGAGATGCTGACCAGCTTTGTGCTGTGGCAGCATAGAGCATTGACTCTCAATCCTGGCAGCACACTGAAATCATCTGGGGAGCTTTAAAAAGTACTGATGCTGGGGTCCCAGGTGGGGCCCCACCCCAGAGACTCTGACTTAATGAGTCTGGGGTTTTTAGAGCTCTAGGTGACCACAATGAGTAGTCATAGTTGACACCCACTTGTGTGGATGGAGCTTCCTTTACTCTCCTGACGGCTCCATGAATCACCTGAGGAGCTTTCATAAAATGACTATGCCCAGACCTCATGCCCAGAGATCCAGTCTGATTGGTCTACAGTGAAGCCCCTGGTATTGCTGGTTTTAAAGCTCCCCAAACAATTCTGATATATAGTTGGAGATGCAACCCACTGGCGTAGAGGAATCCAAAAATCTGACTTTGAACCTAGGCTCAGCCACTTGAGGCTGTGTGATCTTGAACCAGTTACTTAACCCCCCTGAGCTTCAATTACTCTATTTATGAAAGAGTGGTCCAAGGAGTTTCTGCAGACAGGGCCTGGGGAAGTGCTCAGGGACTTATAATGCCCTAATCACCATGGAGTTTCTCAGCCGTGATTTTGGCCTTGCCCTGCTGTGCGCAAGGCCCAGGGCACACCATGCACCCATTTCCCCTTGGATACTCATGAGTTCCATTTTAGACCTGTGCACCCACCTGAGCACCCAGCTCAGAAACCTGCAGCGGCCGCCCTGCCCTTGGCTCAGCGACTTGGCAGCTTTGACCCACGGAGCAGGCCCTGCCATTTCTCCACAACCACCAGAGTGTGGTCCACAGACCAGCAGCCTCTGCAGCCCCTGAGAGCTTGTTAGAAATGCAGGCCCTCCCCACCAGTCTCAGGATATGCATTTTAACAAACTCCCCGGGTACAACAGCTATTTGAGAACTTGATGTTTTTGCTCATCGTGTACACATACAATCTCCTTTTCCTCCCCGGCCCTGCTAGAAGGTAGGCATGGCAGATATTTTATTCCTGATGAGCAGGGGGCCAGCTAAGTGACCCACCTTGGATTCCTGTGCTATCTAATGACATCACTGAGGCTGGGCAACAAGCTTCCAGATTTGCTGTCCAAACCCCTGTGAACTGGATTTCAATTTGATAAGGCTACTGATATTAATGCTTATCAAAAGAGAAAGACTATTTCCCCCCCTTTTTTTTCTTTTTATTTAATTATTATTCTGTCAGCAGGGTATTGATGCAGGAAAATAAAAAGTATCCTTAGCTGACTTTGGCCCAAGTATTAGCCGGTAACTTCCAAATAGAAAGAAGGGAAGGAATTATCCAGGTTATCAATATGCCCTTCTCTTAGCCAACATTTGATGAGTACCGATTTGTGGGCCACGTTCTGTGAACAGTATTACAGACTCGAGCTGGAAACCTGAGTTCATACCAGTCTTGCTGCTTGTTAGCCAGCTGACCTTGGGCAGGTTACTTAACCTTTCTGTGACTCCGTTTCATCATCTGTAAGTGGGGATCAGAAGAGCACCTGCCCTGAGAATATTAGAGAGCGGACGATATATAAGGCGTTTGGAACAGAGCCTGGCCCATGGGAAGTGCTTGGTGTGTTAGTGATTAGACTCCACCGGCCACAGATCCACAGGCAAAGTAGGTATCAACAAATCCTCACGGTGATGCATGCAAAGGGCTGTAAATCTGTATACCCCCCCAAAAATGTAGCTTCTGTATCTCATGTTATGTTGCTGATAAACTCCAGAAGGTTGTAAGTTCTTGGGTCGGTGTCTGAGTGCTCTGGCCTGGGCAGTTGGAGCTACAATGTTCACATGGCGTCACTGAATATCCAACTGGTAGGGTTCTGGAAAGGACCTCAGAGGTGATGAGAATCATTTTCCTGGGATGTCTGACAAAAAGCCACGTCAAGAGCGAGGCCAGGGGCTTGTAGATAATTATAACAGCAGCTTCTGCTCATGAGCGTTTACTACGTGCTAGCTGCTCTTTGAGGGTTTTACATATTTTAACTTAATCTTCACCGCAGCTCAGTAAGTTCAGGGTCCTGGGAAGGCACTGTCCCCAAGGCCTGCAGCTCGGACGGGTGGAGCCCAGTTCTAACCTGGGTGCTGTTGCGGACCTTCTACACTCTCAGAGCAAGGGGACCCCTCGCCTCCCATCCCATGTCCCTCTGCATATGCTCACCTCTCTCCACTCTGTCTGTCTTTGAATATAAACCCGGAGGTTGTGCTGTCTACTGAGCTGGGGAGGTCTCGTGCTACCTCCGAGGTGGCTGCCGCCGGCGGTCTGGGCGCACCCTTCCCCAGTGTGGCCCTGTCTGGGTCCCCCGCAGAGCGCTGAGCAGAGCTTTCCCACCCGGCGCGCGGCCACCCAGCGCTTATCCTCTTGCGTCCCCTAGTGGTCATGGGCCTGCCACCTGCCAACGGCTGTCAGGTGTGTCTAATCGGGGAAGGTTCAAAGCCACTGTCCTTGGGCTAGTTATGTGGCCTTCCAGAATAAACCTCAGCATTCTTGTCTGTGATTGGGGGATCCTTATCCTTGCCCTGTTCACACGTTGTCAGAACACAGACCAGTGCCGCTCAGCAAACACTGAGACCCAGGCCTGGCCGTGGGTGGCTCAGACACCGCCCCTGCCCTGTCTTCAAGGGCTCTCAGTCCAGCTTGGGACTGTCCCTTAAAGACAGAGCACATGAGGCCATGGAGCATGGAGGAGGGGCCTGCTGTTGGGTGGGGGAGATCAGGGAAGGCACCCCACAGCCCAGCCCAGCAAGGATGAGAAGGACTAGCAGGCCAAGGAGTGAGAGGAACAGGGAGGGTGCTCCAGGCGGAGGGCCTCGAGGGTGCAAAGGCCCAGCAGAGCTGGGAGCCAGGTGTGCTGGGCGGCCCTGAGCAAGAAGGTGTGTGGACAAGGCTGGAGACGAAGCCAGGCCTGGTCCTCGGGGGCCTTGTGCACCATGCCCTGGAGTTCAGACTTGGTCTGAAGGCAGTGACTGGAGGGTTTGGACCATAGCACAGCACCGTGTCTGCCTCTCACAAAGGCCCCTGTCTGCCATGCGGGGGCAGAGCGCACGGGGGCAGGTGGGAGGCTGGGACAGCAGGACAGACGTGAGCAGGGCCTGAGCCAGCTGTGACGGGCCCGGCAGGAAGGAAAGAGAGGGGGTCTGATGAGGCAGGATTACCGGCATGGAGGACAAGACGGGGCCTGAGGCGGACTCGGGCGTCTGCTGGGGCCATGCCCAGCTGGGAGAGGCGTCCTCCCTCTGGGACGCGGGGCCTCCTCCACACAGCAGCGCCCCCCGCCCCGTCCCGCTTCCGCGGTCCTCACGCTCATTCTGCAGGGTGAGCAGCTGCCCTCTGAGGCTTCTGGACCCAGAGGGTCCCGTCTGCCGCTGGCCAGCATTTCCTGCCCTAGGGAGGTGTCTTTTCCAAGAGTCCTGTCCTGAGTCATGACGCCGTGGTGGGGCAGAGGGGGCAGGGGGCTGTTCTCAAGTCTGACCTTGAGGGAGCCACTCATGAAGTCAGTCTCACCCTCAAAAATCTCTTCCAACCCTGCATCCCAGGCTCTCTGAGGTTCCACAGCCAAGGGCTCCTGTGACCTTTGCTGCGCCTTTGCCTTTCCCTTTCAGGGCTGTGGAGGCCAAAGGCCCCAGGGACTGGGGAGTGATGGCCATAAGGAAGGCCCCTCTTTGGCCACGTGCACGCACTGAACCCCTTCCCAGAAGAGCAGCCCCCGACATGCTCTCACTCTGTGCCAAGAGCTTTACGCCTGGTACCCCGCGTCAGCCTCACCCCAGCCCCGTGACGGACGATTCTGTCTGCAGCCAAGGAGCAGACGCGGGAGGCGCGGAGGGAGAGCCAGTCGGTCTGCACTCTGCTCGCAGGCAGTGGGGACTCCAGGACGGACAGAGCCCGTTACCATTGGCAGACCCTTGCTGTGGGGCGGGACGCTGACCCAGGGGTTTCTCTTCCTAGGACACCCTGGAGAGAACCATGGGGCGGGCGCACATGGCAAAAATGATCGAGTCCCTGAAGCTCCAAATCCAGGAGGAGACCAAATGCCGGCTGGCCGCCCTGTCCCACGGCCTGGAGCTGCTGACCATCGAGGGGAAGCTCTCCGGGCGGCAGAAAGAGGAGCTGCTCACTCAGCAGCACAAGGCCTTCTGGGGGGAGGCGGAGCGCTTCAGCAGCGGTGAGTGAGCCATGGCCGGGTCCGGGGTGCACAGACCTCCTGTGCCAGGGTGGGAGAGGGGGGCCGGGTCTGGGGGGCAGCGTCAGGAGACGTGGAGCAGCACGCGGGAGACCAGCACAGGCTGTGACCCCCTTCCGGCCCTTGGGGACCGCATCCCTTATCAGCTCTGAGCCTTGCTTGCCTTCCCCATAAGGCTGCCCCTAGGGTCTGGGATTGCCGGCTGCATTTAGCTGTCAGTGACCGGGCTGACGGAGGCCCCGGTGTCCTGCAGCAGAATCACCTGGACCATGCAGAGGGCAAAGGAGGGTGGCAATGCCCAGAAATGACACATGGCACTCAGCTGCAACCCGTGGCCCTACACAAGTCCCAGGGCCCTGCTCAGCAGCGCAGGCGAGGGTGGGCAATGGTTGAGCCTGTAGGGCAGGAGAGGGAACTCGACGTGGTTGTTTCTCATGCCCACCCCAGCTCCTGGGGCGGACCCTGGGAGGGGGGCAGGTCAGGGCTCAAGATACTGAGGGCATCCGAGACTTAGTCCAGGTCCCATCGTTAGAAAGAAGAAACTAGCTGCAGGGAGGGTACCAGCTCTGCCTCCAGCCCCAGCTGCCCCGGGCCCTCTGTGGGGAGAGCTCACCACCGGTCCCAGCGTGGTCCAAGGCTGCACGTTCACCCGGGGCCGGGAGTGGAAGCAGAGAGGCAGGCGGCCTCTTGGGGTCTCGGTCAGGACGTCTGCAGGGCACGGAGTCTGTGTGCTTCACAGTTTCCCCAGCGGACTCTGACACCCACATGGGTGTGGACGCTGTAGGACCAGGGAGTCTCCAGGGGTCTTGGTCAGCTCGGGCCGTGGTATCAAGATAACACAGACCGTGGGGCTCACACAACAGGCCTCTCTTTTCTCCCAGTTCTGAAGGCAGTGAAGTCTGAGAACAGAGCGCCAGCCCAGTCAGTTCTGGTGAGAAACTGAGTCCTGCCTGCAGCCAGCCACCTTCTCTCTGTGTCTTCACGTAGCAGAGAAGGGCTTTCTTGTACCTCTTCCTCTTCTTCTAAGGCACCAGCCCTAGGCGATTAGGACCCCAGTCTCACGAACTCGTTTACCCTCCAAATGCAGTCCCGCAGGGGTTAGGGCTTTAGAGTATCAATCTGGGGGGACACGGTTCAGTGCATGGCGCCAGGTTTTCGTTGCAGCCTGTGTCCTGGTCCTCTGTCTGCAGTGGCTCGTGTCCTCTCTGCCAAGCCTGCCGGCTGCCTTTCAGAGATGGGGTCAGAGGGAGGCACTCAAAGCTGGGGCCTCAGGCCATTCCATGAGGTCTTTGTCACTCGGCATCATGGCTTCTGTGACCACGTAGAAGCCCGCTGTTGGCCGGAGTCTGGACCGTGTAGAACTGAGCACATCTGGCCTTGGGGGTCATCGCACACAGGGACCTGGGCTCTCCCAGTGGGATGGGGCCCCAGCAGCACAGAGTGGCAGGGACAGGATGCCAAAGGAACCCCCACTGATCAGGCTCTGTTGAACTTGGACAGGACAGGGGAGGCAGGGAGACAGTTGGGGCGTGGAGGGAGGACCCTGGGCAGAGGGAGGACTCTGGTCTCTCTGGACACCTGGTCACACCCTTCTCTTTGGCGCCAGAGGCTAAACAGATTCTCAGACAAAACCCAAGGAAGTGTGCTTGTCTTACAAGTGTGGAGTGTGTGTGTGTGTGTGTGTGTGTGTGTGTGTGTGTGTATGAAATGCTGAAACAAACATCTCCCAGAACGGCAGACCCCTGGTAACCTGGCCCTCGTTGACTTCTACAGCTTCTACACTCAACATCTCCCCCAAAACCCAGGGGAGAAGGATCTGGCTCACCTCTTCTTTATCTCCTCTCCCAGAAGCCTTCTCTGGGGTCCCACACTGCCCGTTACCCTTCATCCTTCTCATCCCATCACCCTGTCCCTCGTCTGGCATGACATTGAATCTCCCTTCCCCTCTCTCGACTTCTCTGCACCAGGAGCCGACTGCGCCCAGCGCCCGGTGCTAAGGCACGCTGCTGGCCCAGTGACCTCTGCGGGGTGAAGGGTGGGTTTAGACCCCAGCCTCTCTGACCTCCTTCACCTTCCCCACCAGGCAGGGGGCCTTGCCCTTGGGGTCCCCCTCCTTCTTGCAGCTCCTGCTAATTTAATAACTCATCCTCGTGATTTTTGAATCTCCACTGCACTCTGAGATGTCACTGTCTTCCTACAGACCCAGACTCTTCTGTCCTGTCCTTCCACCTGTCCCTCCCTGTGTCACCTACACCTTCCTCATTTTTCCCCACAAAAAAATGCCTCTTCTTCATCTCCTGGTCAGGTTGACCAGTCACCCTGCACAACCACAAATGCAGCCTCTTGTGTCCTGAGCACTGGGCCTGAGGGGAAGTAGGGTCCCTTCAAATAACGTGAGGCTGTGGGCTTTGAAGAGCCAGGGGCTCCTAACACTGGCCTTTTGGAAGCACCTATACCTGAAAGATAAAACTATGAGTGCGGGCAGGAGTGCGGTGCACCTGCTTGTCCATTCTGCATTCTGAGTGCGGGCAGGAGACTGTGAATGTCTTGCCCGGGGAGTAACCTGTGACGTGCTGGGGTTTACTTCAATTTCAGAGTTTGTCCAGCGAGGCAAAGACCTGGTTAAGGCGTCACTGGTTCACCAAGCAGAGGAGATGGCCAAGCTCACACTGGCCCAAGAAGAGGAACAGAGGAGCTTCCTGGCTGAGGCACAGCTGAGCACCGCCCCGGGCGAGTTCCTCCAGGTGACCCTGCTCCCCGCGTCCATGGACACAGCCAGCCCAGGAGCAGCCACGCAGGCTGAGTGCTGTGGCTTCATCCTCGTTACTGTGCAAGGAAAGCCAGAGACTTTGGCATTGGCCAGACATGAGGTCAACTGCTCGCTGCCCAGTGTCAGCCCGGTGACCTTAGCCAGCGGGAGGAAGGGAGGACTATGCACAGGAGGCTCTGTGGCAGGACCAGGGAGGTGGCTGGGCTAGAAAATGCCCTTGTCTTGATGAGGAAGGGGACAAGGAGACTTGCCAGACAAGAAACAAGAGGCCACCCTCCTTGAGGGCAGAGAAATGAGTTAGCGCCAGCATGGGCCAGGACGACCGGGGAGAGAGAGAGAGAGAAGAGAGCCCTGCCTTTGCCCCCGTATTTTCCTGCTCATGGGCAGGGGCTGGAGCACCTGCTTGTCCATTCTGCACAGTGGTCAAGCATTTGGGCACTGGGGCCACCTGGAAACGGGTTGGAACGCTGACTTTGCTGCTAAGGAGCTGAGTGACCTTGGGCGCATTGCTCCCCTCAGCCCTCAGCTTCCTCATCTGCATAATGGGCGTCATGGCACCCACTTCATGGGTTGTTAGGGTTCAGGGAGACCAAGTAAGGGGCAGCCACAGCCCGACTGTTTGTCTGGGCCCTTCTCCTTTGCCTTGACATGAGCTGGACCTTGTTTTGGCTCTGCCAGGGGGACAGAGGGACAGTGACCAGACCCAGGCCCCATGCAGAGCACAGGCACGGGCCCTCCCTGGGTCCAGCCTGGTGGCAGGAGCAGCTCCCCAGTGAGAAGCCAGGAGGAGACCTCCCACACACACACCGAGGACAGAAGAGAAGCATTTAGGTCCCTTTAAGGTCTACCTTGCCCCCCCCCCCACAAGGAGCCTCCTCCCAGGTCCCTTCCAGGTCACAAGGTTGGGGTGGAGGGCTGTTTCTGTCCTGGACAAGATGCATCTGAAGTAAGGCTGATAGGTTTATACTGCTCTGTGTTGCTCAGAGATTTCTGGCCCCTCCCTGGCATCGTGTTGCACAAACCTGAGCGCGGGGAAAAGTGGCCCGGTTGGCTCTGCCCAGCACCTCAGCACAGGCCAGGCCCACGCTGGGGCTCAGGAGACAGGGACAAAGGAGGGAAGGGTAGAGCAGATACATAAAAGAATGGATGAACGAGGGAACGAATAAATAAATGAACAAGGGGAGTTTTCCCCCGTGGACCTCCCTAAGAGGAGTCTGTCCCTCTGTCATTGTGACCCACCATGCCCCTCGGCTGCACACCTGTGTCTGCCCCATCTCCCCCCCATTCTCTGGGCTCCTCAGGGCAGGGCTCAGCCACGTGACCAGGGCTGACCACACTGACCTCTCACGGCCTGTGTGCTTTGACCCTGCTAGGTGGTGGGCTCCACTGGGTAGTCTCCCAGGGCCTGGGCGGTGGTCCCCAGCAACTCAGTCACAGAATGTCTGGGTGGCTTGTGGCCAGGAGATCAGGTTCGCAATTTGCAGCCACGTGATAGCCCTGTGCCTCAGTTTCCTCCTATATAAATCAGGGATGGACATCCTTCAAATCTGAGAGTGGCCCTTTGGGGGAATTTTTCTAGGAAAAAAATTGGCATTTTCCCATAAGATTCAGCTCGTGTTTCACTCGCAGGCTTTTCATGCAGTCCTGGAGAGGCAGAGGTTGACCCGGAGTTACCTGGAGGAGGAGGAGAACATCAGAACCACCGAGGCCGTGGCTGTGCTCTGCCAGGTACGTGGCCTCGTGGCGGGACCTGCAGAGAACCCCCAGGATCTGCGTGTGCGTGGGAATCCCCCCTCCTCCTGGGCTGGGACCCCAGAGATGCAGGCTCAGGTCCAACCCTGGCCCTGTGGAGAGCAGGCAAGCCACATGCCCTCCATGGGTCCCTCCCCGCATCACACACCAGGTCCTATGGGAGGCATCTTCTATTTCCAGGGTGCTCAGGACTCTGACCTCCAAATGTCCCTAGAGGCAAAGGCCTTTGGAAGCGAGTTCACCCAGGATGGAAAGGAGGCCAGCTTTTGCGGGAATCAGCGGGAAGGGCAGTGGTGAGGACGGAGGGCTGGCCCTGGAACAGGGAGGCCGGGGTTTGAGTGCCGGCACCACCTTTCTCCCCGGGCAACCTCATGCAACTCCAGAATGGGGAGGAGGACTCCATGCTGGCCTGGAGGACTGACTCTGAGAGAACAGGGGGATCACCTGTGCCCTCCAAAGTGATGGGCCTCCCCGGGGGGGTGATGGTGACCAAGATACGGAGCCCCTGCCTCGGGCAGCACCCAGAGCTACTGCAAAGCAGAAATGCAGACATCCTGCACGAAGGAAAGTGACAAGTGCTGTAGCGGTGGGAAGTGCATGCGGGGTCCTCTCCAGACTCAGAGTGCCTGGATCTGTGTCCCAGCTCTTCCGCTTCCTCACTGTGTGGCTTCCAGGTTTTACTGGGTCTCTCCAGTTCCCAGTTTCCCCATCTGCGAAATGGGGACAATGATAGGCCTTTTTCATGGGGTGGAATGAGGCCCTTAGGCAGTAGCTGGAATCCGGGACATGCCCGATCCCAGTTGGCTCCCGTTACAATATCCCTGCTTACGGGTACGGAGTGGAGGCGTAAGGGATGCCTGGGGCTAAGGCCAAGTCAAAGACAGCTGTCTGCAGGAAGTGATGCCTGAGCCAAGCTTTGAAGGGGGAGACAGGCCCTGTAGACAAGGAGTCAGGGGGCATCCCAGGCCCCGAAAAACATGTGAAGGTGGGCAGTGCAAACCCTCAGCATCGTGGCAGCTATCCTGGGTGGATAGTGTCTGTATCGGTCAGCTCAGCCGCTGTAACGAAGTGCCCTAGACAGGGGGCTTAAACAGCAGACACTTACTGTCTCGCTGTTCTGGAGACCAGAAGTCCAAGGTCAAGGTGTGGGCAGGGTTGGGTTCTGGTGAGGACCCTCTTGCCGGCTTGCAGATGGCCACCTCCTTGCTTTGTCCTTACTTGGCCCTTCCCATGTGCTCATGAAGAGAGAGAGCTCTGGGGTCTTCCTCTTATTAGGACACCAGCCCTATCAGCTTAAGGCCCCACCCTCGACCTCACTTACCCTCAGCCATCTCCTTGAAGGCCCCATCTCCAGATACTGTCACATTGGAGCTTAGGGCTTCAGTATTTGAACTTGGGGGACACAATTCCATTCCTAACAGTAGCCCCAAAAATGTCTGTTCCCCTGGAACCTCAGAATGTGACCTTACTTGGAAGTAGAGTCTTTGAAGATGTAATTAGTGAAGATGAGGCCACACTGAATTAGGAGGGAATGACTGACGTCCCCGTAGGAAGACCACGTGCTGCTCAGTGTGGGCTGTGTGGTAGAGGAGTGACGTCCTGCCAGATGCTTGGGTTCCAATCCCAGCCAGGCCATTGGCCAGTTATGGGTTCAGGAGCAGCTTATCTAACTTGTGCCTCAGTTTCTCCATCTTAACAGCATTCTGATGCACAGCTGAGTTTGAGAACCACTCTCATGGAGGGACTAGGGTAGGTCCAGTGAGCTCATACTCATGAGGCAGATGCTCTTGATGCCCTACCCTGTGGCCCGCGAGCCCACCTGGGCCCACCCCCAGCAGGGGACATTTTCCAGCAGGCTGACATTCCCTCTCTTGAGCTGGGATTAGAGTCTAAGATCTTGGCCAACTAAACCCACTTTCCTCCTCCATAAAGCAAGGCCGAAACGCCCATCAGGTATTGCTGCTGGAGGAAGGAGTGGTGCATATAGAAGCAGCAGGCCAGTGTCAGTGGGTGGCAGCAAATACATCAGTTTCAGTAAAGGCTTGTGGTGACACTGAAGTGACCACAGCCTCATCCCTCCAGTGATGTCCTTGGGATGTTATGTATTTGATTTTCCTGTGCCTGGGTCTAGTTGCCAGGCCTGTGAGAGCTTGGGCCACGAAGGTAAAGACCCCCTTTGTGAATGAGGAATACACCTGCTGGAGTCTGTTTCTTAGGAGGAGGTACTTGGAAATACGCCGCATGCGAAGGTGTGAGGAGCAAGCTGAAGGTGTGCTTGTGATTCTGTGCATCTGCATAGATGCTTCTAAAGGAGATAACGAGGGGCGCCTGGGTCGCTCAGTCAGTTAGGCGTCTGACTTTGGCTCAGCTCATGATCTTGGAGTCCTGGGATTGAGCCCCAAGTCAGGCTCCAAGCTCAGCAGGGAGTCTGCTTCTCCCTCTCCCTCTGCCCCTGCCCTTGCCCCAGCTCTGTGTGTGTGTGTGTATGTGTGTGTGTGTGTGTGTGTGATTTGAGAGCTCCCTTCGCTGGGTTTCCTCTGTGCTTTGTGGAAAGCCCACAGCCCTGCCCAGGGTGAGAGCATGACTTGTAAGCCCGTCACGTGCTCTCGGCTTCAGGAGCTGTACCGTGGCACCATGGAAACGTTCCAGAAGTTTGTGGACGTCCTGTTCCTTCAGACACTCCCAGGCGTGACCGGCTTCTCCCGGACAGAGTGTGAGTACTTGAGGCAGGAGGTCCAGGAGAACGCAGCGCAGCAGCTGAGACAGTCGGATCGCTTCCGCAAGCAGCAGTGGGAACTCTTCCAAGATCTCCTGGAGCAAGACAAGCAGGTGGGCATTTTGTACAACCGGGCCTGGGGTCTACCGTTTTTACAGTTAGGAAGAATAATGAGAGATTTCGTTCGTGGAGCATCCCCAGTGCCTGTGCCGAGCACTTGACACTGTGCCCTGCCCGGCCCTTCACAACCAAGGTGGGCAGGAGGAGAGAGCGGAGGATGGGAGTCAGTAGATAATGCCTCCGGCTGGCCCATCACAAAAGGACAGCAATGCCTGTGCTTTAGACCGGCAGAAGTCAACCACAGAAGGTAGCTCGTAAGAGAGTGGACTTGGCGGGGGTGGAGGGGGTTCTCACATGGAACTCCTGCTTTTCAGTGAAAGCCTGTTTCCTGATTAAAACCAGGTATCCGTGTGATAGATAGAATAATGGTCCCAAGATATCCACATCCTAATGCCCAGAATCTGTGAATAGTCACCTAACATGGCAGAAGGGACCTTGCCCAAGTGAGTGTATTAAGGATGTTGAAATGGAGAGATTGTCCTGGTGTATCCAGGGGGCCCCAGTGTAATCACAGGGTCCTCCTAAAAGGGAAGGAGGAGGGTCAGAGTCAGAGAAGGAGAAGTGATGACTTGAGCAGAGGACAGTGTGATGTGGCCACGAGCATGGCAGGCAGGCACCTCTGGAAGCAGGAAAAGGCAGGTGCAGACTCCCCCTTGGGGCGTCCAGAAGGATCACAGCTCTGATTTTAGCCCAATTAAGACCCATTTCAGACTTCTGACCTCCAGAACTGTAAGATAATGAATTCGTGTTGTTTTAAGCCACAGAATTTGTAGTCATGTGTTACGGCAGCAATAGGAAACCAATTTACATTAATTTTATTTTAAAAAACTAAAACGTGTCAAATAGAGGAATTTCCAAATGTGACAGTCACTAAAACTCCTGTATTTCCTTTCTCTCCTGCCTTCATGCACACCGCAGGCTTTAACACGAATGTGTTCACTATCCCAGTATCTAGCAGTGACCGGGTGACGTAGTCCTGGCCGATGAGACAGAGTGTGGTCGCTGCAAAGAGCTTCCCTTTCTTCGGCATTCCCTGTTCTTCCTGCCCAGAGCATGTGCAGGAGGCCTGGGGCACGCCAGCCTTCCTTTGACTTAGAGGCAGGATGCGGGAGGACGGAGGCAGACAGGCTCAGGATGGTGGAGCAGGGAGTGGATGCCACTGTCCCAGCCCTGGACTGCCCACCCCTTGGGAACTTGTTATAAGAAACAACCCCTGCCTCTTTGCCTTGGGGTCCAATTAGTTACAGAAGAGCACTGGACTCGTGAATGGAAGAGAGGTTTTCCAAAGCAACAAACCAGAGCTGTCCAAGGTACCAAGTAGGGAAAGGGGGGCATCATGCCACAAGGCCACTCACAGCCATGGAGCAGCAGAGGGCCTCGCTTCCTATTAGACCTCCTTCTAATTCAGTTCAGTCCTCCATCAGCTGCATCGTGTCTTCCTCTCATTGCTAACTGTCTCCTGCGCTTGGCTCTAAGTTCCTAGAGGACAGCAACTCTGTTTTCATTTCTTCATTCCCTTATTCAAAGTCCAGGGGCTGGGACACAGCGAGGGCCCAGGAGAACTTGGCTGCAATAACGCAGCTTTGGAAATTATCACAGGATCACTTTACTGTTCTTCCAAGGGATGTAGTTGAAGCTGAATCCCTTGGATTCATAACAATCCTGGGCCCAGACCACTTAATTTACAGTCTCTGGGGTGGGGGTGGGGGGGACAAGCTGGCCATGTGAGTCTAATGTGCCTCTGATGAAGGCTCCCCAAATGGGGGGGCCTTTGAGAGGCAGCTGTAGTTTGCAGACGGGCCCCTAATCTTGGAACCTGGATGCATGGGTTTGAGCCAGTGCAGTCCTATCCATGGGCTGGTTGGCCTCGGCCAGTTAGCTAACCAACCCCCGCCCCCCCCACAGCTCTGGCATTTTGCAAAACTTGCTAAATGTCTCAGAATCTCTGCTTCTGAGTGAAAAGTAGGGATCAAAATACCCAACAGTGTTGCTCTGAGATAATGCAAGATAAGACCTTTCACACAGCGCCTCTCTCATTATTTAATGATATTGGCATCGAAAAAAATCCAGAACTGATAAATTATTAGACTAACAGCCATAATCCATCTGCAACCCTCTGGTTATGAGTCTTGATTATTTTAAGTAAATGTTAGACAATGCATGACTTCTGGCTTTTACTTCCTGTTTATTTACTTAGTGAGTATACACGTGCATGTGAATTTTCCATGGCTTGTGCAGAAGGGTTTCAGGAGGAGTTCTGCATGCAAGAAGCAAGCAGGATGGTTAATGACCTCATCAACTGATTAAATAAGTATAACCCAAGACTGTTTTCTCAACGTGTATATGTCATAATTAATTTACTGATTGGTTGTTTAATTGCCTTAAATTGCCACAAGATATTTAGAGGTCCATGTGTACTCTCACTTACCATATTTCCTCCTTGATGATAAAAATGAGCGATGAGCTTTCTATGATTTAGATGAATATTTAGTCATAAGAAAAAAAGCACCAACAAAACTGTTCATGGAAAATGAAACACACACCCAGACTGTGAAATGCATTTCCCACATTGTCTTTTACCCAAAGGACCTTGGTAATTTCGTGTCCTGTTACTCAGGGAAGTTGTTAAATATTATGGAATCTGTCAATTACCCAATTGGAACAGGTTGTAGAATGGTGGTTCTCAAAATGTAATCTGTTCTAATGTTGCTTCCTGGGCTTTTCCCCAATCCACTGTGCTAGGTCCCCCCAAAGATGTCCCCGTCCTAATTCCCAATGGCTGTGAACATGGGATCTCACACGGCACAAGGGACTTTGCAGATGTGATTAAGTTCAGGATCTTGAGACGGGGAGATTCTCCTGAACTATCTAGGTGGACCCGGTAGAATTACCAGGGTCCCTATAAGTGCAAGTGGGATGCAGGAGTGTCAGAGTGATATGTTGGACCGAGAAAGTCTCAGCCAGCCATCGTTGGATTGAAGATGGAGGAAGGAGCCACTTGCCGAGGAATGCAGGTGATCTCCAGCAGCTAGAAAGGGCATGGAGATGGGGTTTGCCCAGAGCTTCCAGAAGGCATGTAAGCCTGCTGACACCTCGGGTCTAGCCCCTTGAGCCCTATTTTGGACTTCTGACCTGCAGAACTATAAGACAATGAGTTTGTGTTGTTTTAAGCTACTGAGTTTGTGGTAGAAACAGCCACCATGGGAGAGTAATAGACCGCCACATGGGAGTCTGCACTTTTGACAAGGCATGTGGTGGTGGGTGCGGTCCATAGCGCTTCCTATCGTCAGGAACACCCATGTGGCCATCAGTCCATCAGGTGTTAAATCCTGGCACCACCTCCCACTCTCCTCCCACTCTCTCAGCCCCACTGCAGGTGGGTTTCTATCACCTGGCCACCACACCTGCTCCCACCTGTGCTGAGCTCTCAGGCCTCACCTGCCGCACTGAGCTGCAGTGCTTGGGCTGGATCCTGTTCTCTCCCACTTTCCATACTGAGAGATCCCTGTCCTCCAAAGTTGGGCTCTCCCCTCCTCCTTGAAACAGCTGCTTGACTCTCTTGCTTCTCCTGCTACCTCTGTGGTGGCTCTGCCTCAGTCTCCTTTGCTGGTTCTTTCTCACCTTCACCTTGTCTGCCCCCTGGAGTGGCCCAGGACGCAGCCCATGACCCTCCTCTCAGTCTGCATGCACTCTCTTGGTGACCCATCCAGTCACACCCGTCTGTCCTGGTGTCCTAATGCTGCATGACAAATAACCAAGCGAGCATTAAGACAACACACA